GAGAGAAAAAAAATCTCTTCAGATGCCTCACTGCTCACTATACCCAAAATCGGAGCTGACATGCGGTACGTCGTCTTGTGGCAGCGACTACCAACAAAGTACACCGAGAGAACAGACCCATCACTGCCACCACCGTAAAGAAGAACTGTGTGCAAAAAGTCAAACCTACTGCCACTGCCAGAACCATGATGTGCGTCCACCGCACGACCATTTGAAGAGCTGAATGGAAAAGACCACCAACAGAAGGCACGAACAGGTCGCGGAGCTCCAGAAAAAACAACTCGACGTCTTGTCCGATTTTCTGGACCCATACAATTCGTTTGGTAAACAAAGAGACTATCATTTGTTCCGACGGCGATGTGCTCCCCATCGGGTGTTGCTTCTATTTTGTATATGGGTGCCCCAACATCCACACTGTAATCTGCTAAACGTGATGCGTAAGAAGACAAATCTATCTGTGCATATGCACCAGAAGAATGCCAAATCACTGATCCATCACGAAGGTTGCGAACAGTCAAAATGCCATCCATGCAACCAGAAAACAAAAAATGTCCCACAAGATACAGAGTGCTAACATGAGAAGTGGTGCCCATAAATGAGCTCTGTGTTGTTTTTTCCAACAGGATACCAGTTGGCGTGAATTGGGACGCATCACATCCAATGGAATCGCCGCCCCCCACATAATATTTCAATACCGTAATAAATCCATTATTCATACCAACCGCCAAAAATACGTCGCCCATCTCGGTAGGTCGCATTGAAGAAGCAACGGCACTCACAAGAGTAGCCGCGGTTGGGGTTTCAAAAAGAAAATACGTTTTTCCGGACTCTTGCCAAAGATACACACTTCGTTGCAACGCAACGACGACACCCATATGACCCCAGCTTAGTGGAGTAAAATTTGGACGTCCCTGGTCATCACACACAGATAGCCCTTCCGCACTAAGAACTCGATCGCATGTCTCACCTTGTCGACGAGGTGTTGCATGTTGTGAATATAACACACTTCTTCGTGACACTGGACTTGCGCCCTGCGAAACTGTGATATTTCCTCCATGTCCTCCCTGAGTCGGTGTGCACAATAAATCATTTTCATGCCTTACAGGTGTACGAAGTTGTGGTGAAGCGCATGAATGCAATGTTGCATTGCGACCTGGATGGGGGCTTGTCGCAAGAGTGCTGACAACATCACCACTCCTAGACCCACGCAGTGGGGAAGGAAATCCATTCGTACTGAGGGCAGGCGTTGTCCGGTGCGTGTCGCAACGCTGGGAGTAACTATACGGGCTGCCGCTGATAAAGCCCCCGTTCATGCCGGAGGATCGAGTCTCTTGATTCCCCATGCCCCAATTCTTCGACACCGCCAGCGGAGTATGACACCCGTTATTCAATTGAACATGCGCGGTAAATGTGGGCTTCGGTGAAGAAAAGGTCGATGCCGTTCTCTGAGACGATGGGAAACTTATTTGAGCTCCTTCAATGCGGTTTTTTATGGGGGTCGATGGCGGCGTACAAAATCCATCGTTTGGCTCCTGCGCCACCTCCGTCATGAGGTCTGCATTGAACGATGGCAATTGCAGCTGCCCATCCATCGTCGTAATGCCATCCCCTCGGTTCGCACAACCTGCTGAAAACGGGTAGTAGTCGCCCCCATTTAGGTCCAGGCGCGGGAAATTAGATGCAAGATCGCCGGCATGAAACAGCATGAGACCGCTGCCACCTAGTCCCATTCGTGACTCAAGCGTTTTGCGGTAACGCGCCTCCGCTACACTGCCAGCTGCGTGCGCACACATGTCATGTGGGTTGTGAAGAAACTCTTTGTAGTCCACAATGCCAATGAATCGGTCTTCCACCGTCTTTGGATTTGCGAAGCTTGTGTCGGCTGACAGCCCATTTGCCCAACCGTCTGTGGAGGCCGAGTAGGTAGAAGGCAACAGGCTGCTCGTAGATTTTTTTTGGACCGACAGATTCATTTAGTGCAGTACAGGTCAAAACCACAATGAAAGCAGCTGCGGCGCAGAAATAAGCGGGTGGCGCACGGCAGAGTAAAAAAAAAAGAAAAAAAAAATCAATGGCGTCAATCTAATGGTCCTCACAAGAAAATAATGGATGGTTTGTTGTGGGATATCGTTAAAGAACAGCACGATCAACCCAACCAGCCGCTTTTGCTTGTAAAGTATATATATATATATATTTGGGAATATCCTTCCGGTAGGTTATTACTGCTGTTGTTTCAGGGGATGTGTGATGAAATCCCGTTTCTCCTTTGGCTTTTTTTTTATACCTTCACTCTTTATTTGCACGCCCCCTCCTAAAACTTGCTCTATGGGGATGTATACAGAGAGATGTATTTTCACAGTGCTGCAGCACGGAGGGGAATTCCCTCGGCGTACCACGGAAACAAACAAACAAAAAAAAGAAGGGCTTATCGTCCATTCAAATAACAACAAGATAGAAAAAAGAGAAAAGCATAAATGCAGAAACACACGTGCACACAAATACACGGAATCAGAAAAAAAAAAAAAAAATAAGAAAGAAAGAGAGAGAGAGAGTGCACGAGTACAGATCCACAAGCAGAAATTCAAAAAAAAATGAGAGCATTCTCGGTAACGACAAATTACTGAGCCACCGCGCTGGCCCGGGGCGGCTGCGTGGCGGGGTTGTGTGTTTCACGCCCTCCGCTGCAGTTCCCTCTCCGGGGGCGGGGCTCTCCTTCACTTCTTCACTCAGCAGGACGGACGTGCTCTACGATGGCGTCTGACTCGTTGACATTCAAATTTGTTTAAGAAAACACTAAGAATGATAATAATAATAAAAGAAACAGGAAAATAAAATGAAGACACACACAAAAAAAATATTTATTTGCATTTGAAGGACCTTCCCGCATCAGATATATTTCCACTTTTCTTTTCGATTGTATTGACTCGTAAGTAAGCACATGAAAATTCTAAACTTTTGCCATACACAAACACAAGCAGAAAGAGAAAGGGGGATACCGAGAAGCCGTATGCCGTAGTTTGCTGCCCCATTCCCCTCACTCCACGACACTGCTCAACGTGCAAAGTATCCCGGTTGCCACTTCCCCGTGAAGGGTGGGATGGCGAAAAGTGGACTCGTCACCGGCAGCGTCAGCAGCGCAGTCACGTACCACGCAACCAAAAGAAGGCCCCCGGCAAGGCTCAGCCGTAGCGAGTTGGTGGTGTACCATGCAATTGTGGCGGTTGCGTTGGCGTGGTGACGGAACAAAAGCCACGTGGCAAACCAGAGCCAAGGAAGACCAATAAATCCGGCGCGAAAGTACCACTTGCAAACGCGCTCCGCCTGCTCTACGGTGAGTGGCCTCTTTGCAAGCATTCACGGCAGACGCAGTGGCCCAAACCTGTTCCACTCACAAATCCCACAACCGATGCGGTCAAACCTACTCGAGAAAAAAAAAAAAAAAGGTTCCGGTAAGTCGCAAGATTCAAATAAGAGAATGAAAATTTCCCGCACTGTGGTTAGATCATAAAGATGTGTTTCACGTGCACACCAAAATAGCAAGAGAGGGAAGCAAGCATATACATATAAACAGAGACACACATCCATACTTTTTCCTTCTTTTTCGTCACTACACCTTTTTCTTGTTTTTTTGCTTTTATTTATTACGTCGACAAAGATGTCTATCAGTACCAATGATGTAAATAATTACGTTACGCAAAAATAAAGCATGAGGAGGATCAATTGAAAGGTATAGGGGAAAAAAGAAACAAAACGCTTTTGTATTTGTGTGTGTGTGTCTGTTTTGGTGCCCCCGGGCACGTCATCGTGCTGATTCTTTACATTTAGAAAGGAAAGCAAAAAGGCTAAAGAAAAAAAATCCTAAAGGACTTCAGATGTGGCTTTCACACAAAGCCTGAGTTGCTCCCCGCAAGACGGCAAAAAATAGAATGTGGCCGCAATAAACCCCTCCCGGGAGAGAGTCATGCTGCTTCTACTCGAAGACTGGCGGCAGTGTCGAACGTTTATAAGGAAGCCGCATGCGGAAGAAATGATCGTTCGGCGTTCTCCCCTGTGTTTTGCCATTTGTGGGTGTCTGTTTTGATGACGCAACCGTCTTTTGTTGGCGTTCGCGCTGGGCGCCTTTAAGACGTGCCAGTGCCGTGTCTGCTCCATATGATAAAGATGTCACTTTATTCGCCCCTCCCGCACCCCGCCGCGCCGACAGGGACTCGATTCGCATTAGATCCCTCTCTTCCCTGTTTGGCCCAACAATCATTGGGCGAAATGGCCGGATTGTGGGCGGTGCAGGCGGAGAGCACGACGGCAGCTTGCCTCGCTCTTCTTGCAGAGTAAGAGACGGAGCCGGCGTTACCCGTTCCAACGCGTAAGTTACTACGGGCGATGTCTCTATCCCCGACGCATCCCTAGGCGATGTGACGAAAGCACCTGAGCTGTGAGTCACAAACGGTCTCATTCTTTCGGGTTCAGGCAACGGCGGGGACAACAATATTGTCGAGAGATTTACATTACGTTTCTGTCCGAGTTGTTGCTGATGCCCCTGCCGCGCCGTCAGTGGTGGCGCCCTTTGAGATGCAGTTCTTTCGGCATCTAATCCATCTTCCACAAGAAAAAAAGACCCCTCATCTGAACCCCAGAAGACGTACATCGGTCCATGGTTGTCGCCTAACGGAATTCCCAACTGCACTCCAGGATAGTAGTCAACCACAGTACCATGAAATGGAAGCACACGCCGCGTACCTCTCCCGCCTGCTTCTGCCGCGGCAGCACTTCTTTGTCCTCTTAATTGCTCTACGTTATCAGGAAGACCGGTACGCACGCTATAAGTCACGTTAGCAATGGGAATGACCTCATCGTTGAACATGATATAACCTGCTGGATTAGAGGACAGTGCTGCACATAAATCTCCCGCGTGCCGCGTGCTCACAGGAAGAGGCACATACACAACCCCGCTCTCCTCGTCTTCCCGCAAATTCCCTCCGGATTCACATAGATATGGGGAGCTTGCGAGATTTTTCGTAAAGAATGCCCGTTGAGCCTCTAAGTCCTCACCAGAGAGACCCAAGTCACGCAACAGCTTATTAATCATCCGTGTCAGCCGTTCCACTGTTTTCTCGTGTAACGATGCCCGAAGGAGTATTTTCTGCAGATATTCCCCCTTCTTCCCTTTTTTTGCGCCATCCGCAAGTTGACGCAACTGAGTACGATGCCGAGCACGGTGGGAAATACGCTTCATGCGAAGCTGAACGAGAGTTTTAAGTTTTTCCTCCCGAGAAAGTAACAGAAGCGCCCTGTTCCCTTCTTCTTCTTCCTGCTCACTTTTGCCCCTGATCAAGTCTTTGAAAAGAGCAGAGCTAAACGCGTCGTATCCCACGACAGTTGGCAAAAGATCCATCGCCCCTTTTTGTCCTTTTCGAAAAGAGGACTCTTCCCGCAGCTTCGCTGCTGCCGCCTGAAGCTCAAAAAAGGCCGCCTTCGCGCGTAACGTCACCGGGTTGTTTTCCCAAAACAAAATTTGCCGTTTACGCTGCTCCTGTTGTTCCAGCGTTATAAATTCCTTCATCTCCTCATTCTCCCTTTTTTCTGAGCTCAACACCGGCTTTGCCCCCACGGAGGCCGCAGCAGAGAAGTAGTCCATCACCGCACGTCGCCGGTATGGATCGTCCTCCTTCTTCATTGTAACATTCATCGTACTACTCGCCGCCCCTTCCTCACACGACAAGACGGCTGCCAGACGGCTTACCTCTTCCGCATATGTCCCAAAAAATCCCAATAGAAGAGCCACGCTCGACTCTATGGAGTCCATCTCTTTTTTCAATCTCACCATGTCCTTAAAGTGCTGCTCCCGTAATCCTCGCACACCCAGATAAATTTCATTGAACTCCTCCAGTAGCGTTTTCCTCCCCTCCATTGCCGCTGATTTTTTTCGGCCTAAAATGAACGCTTGGAGCATTCCACTTTTCTTTCCACTCGGGCTCAAAGTTGCGTTGGCAGCATTTTCCTGATATTGAGCAAATTTCTGTTTCATAAGCTGAAGCCTCTTTGCCTTTCGCCGTCGCTGTTCCTCCAACAAGACTTTAGGCTGGGGTGATTTGCTTATCTCAGCCTCGACAGATAATGCACTTCCTCTTCGAGGGCGATTCAGCTGCCGGATGTACCGTTCATAGTCAAAAACGGCGCCCACACTGTCATCACCCATAAGCGGGATGGTCTGCGTTGACGCCGTCCTAAGTTGAACAACTCCTTTCACTGAAGCTGCATTCACGGTCACAAAATTTGTTTCTACCTTCCTAGGGGCTGGCTTCGGTCTTGTCACTCCTGATATTAACGGTGATGAATGTGGCATTTCCGCCGGTTGGGATAACGAAGAGACTCCCGCCACTGCCAGGACCGCCGGTATCGGTGTGACGTGCTTTGCGGGAACTTCACTCGTGGGCATTGTGGTCAACGATGAGACTTTGACAACCGCGTTGCTTTGCTTTGCGACAGCCCCCGTTGTCGACGGCGACGACGGCGCATTATTCTTTCCCAATTCACTTGTCGTGGAGAGCTGGGGCTCGGAGTCCATTATGGCTTCAGCGCTGCCAGAAGATGTGGAGTTATTTTGAACGGCTTCCGAAAGTGACAGGTTCGACGATGCTTGTATCGTCGGCAACGCATACTCCGACTTCGGCGTCTTGGTTTCCGGAATAACGGCCAGCAAAGCCCGTGACGTGGAATCCTTAAAATTTTCACCAAAATGCCCACCTTGCGCCTGGGAATTATGTGACCTTCGTCGCCTCCACATGGCGTCCTGCAGCTGGTATCGCAGCAAGAGGACCTCACGAAAGTAACAACGCAGCATAAAATTATGCGCCTTACGGAAACGATCAAGTCTCTCCCCCAATTCACGGCACTGCTGCTCACTCTTGCTTAGTTCAAGCTCAAGGTCTCTCGTGCGCTGTTGAAACGCCGCCGACCGCCTCTCTTCTGCGGCAAGTTCAACGCCGGGAAGAGCTTTTTGGATCGTATTCTCGACAAGCTCCTGTACCACAGCCGCACAGACGTCCTCTGCAGGCTCGCTTCGGCCTGGTACAAGGGTTCCAATGTGATCATAGACGCGGTAAGTGAGGCGCTGCAGACGTCGTTGCACATCTGCACGGACCTGCGGGTGGACGTTGTGAAACGCGAGAAGGCTATTCACTTCCCGCAAATTGCTCTCTATACACAAGGAAAATTTCCCCATTTTCACGCGACAACACCGTGGTGTCGTGTTGGATGCCGCGGTCGTTCTCCTTAAATATATATATTTGTTAACCCCTTTTTTTTCTTTTTCTTGTTCCCCCGTCCTCTATAAGCAATTAAGAAAGTGAAAAAAAAAAAAGACAAAAAAAGTAGAAGAAAAAAAAAAAAAAAGAGAAGAGGTGATAAAAAATTAGCAACACGGGAAATAAGCAGCCGAACCGGCAGAAACAAAAAGAAAAGGAACGTCTTTTAAAAGACACACGAATAAGACAACCATCAACAGCATCAAAATCGTCCCAACAGCGATCAAAAGAACCGTCATCATGATGGCAGAGCCTAATTGTTGCGGGCAAAGCAAAAACCCCGCATCGCTGACAACTTGCTTCTCTGGGAAAAGCACAAAAAAAAAAATTCTTTAAAAAACAAAAAATTTTGTAGGCCTTTCAGCTGCCACTCTCTATTTGTGTAGGAGAGGAAAAAAAACTTGTTTTTGTTCTCTGCTTCGCTCCAGTTGCATTCCGTCATCTTCCTGGAGCGGCATGAATGACATTTCATTTTTTTTTTCTTTCCTTTACAGTACGCTTCTTTTCACTTTCTCCCGCCACTGCTGGATCCCCCTCTCAAACACACCGCTCACCATGCCTCTTGGGCAGTAAACACTCGTCACGCCAATCGAGGAGACACTCTCAATATTGTTCGTCTGGTTGTCAAAGAAAACAAACTGAGAAAAGTCCTCCTTGACGTCTATTTCCTTCTCCCTAAGCTTGCGCAGAATCGTCCGATGGTGACTTGCCTTATTAGCGGAGTAAATCTCTACAAGATCCCCAAAGAGTGAGAGCATCGGCACGCGTCTCCCCGAGCTGTCGGTGAATTGAAAGAGCTGCAGGAGCTCCATCGCCCAGCGGGGCTCATCGCATGTGGAAGAAATTGCCAGCGATGTGGAGCTCCATTTTGGATCGGTTGAAAGTTTCTGCAGCAGCTCCCGCGTCTCCCCGAGAAGACGCACATTTGTGCCGGCCCTGTCAAAGGCACCGTTTGGGTCGCTGGGGTCCGCCCTGAACGGCGCCCCACCACCACCCCACAATTCATACATCTCTGGAGCCCATAGTGTACCGTCTAAATCAAAGACAATAACAAGCGGCACGCTTTCTTCAGTCATCCGTTCTTCAATTTCCCCTCCACTGAACGGCGAAGGAGGCAGGAATAGAGAGACATAAACGATGGGACAGTAGGAAGAAAGGGCAAAAGCGCGTACCATGTTGGAGCGCTCCTGCCACCCGCAGTGTCCACAGAAAGATGCAAGCATGTACACACACAACATATATCACAATCAGAAGGAACCTCAAGAGGGGAAAAAAGAAAAAAAAAGGAAATGAACTTCTCCACTCCGTCCCTCAATCCCACACTTCTAGCTGTTAAAAAAAAAAAACGCCGCCATAAGTTCGTCTTTAGCGTCCTCATACGCATCAATAATTGCACTCACAGAAGCAGCTTTTTCGGGGTTGTGAATGCTGTAGAAATGCTCCAAGCGCCACCGCCACAGACAGCGGTTCGCCGCATCCCCCAACGCACCGTTCATGATTGCTGCTCCCACGGCACAGCATCACGGATCCGTTTGCCTCTCCCCAAATCAGCGCCAAAAGAAAATAATTTTTTTTTGTTCCCTCGTGAATGTGTCGCCGACAGCCTCATCGTGCGGTGCCAGGGGTCCATTACCGAATGGACGCGTTTCTTCAAAAAGCCAAAAGTCAGCCATTCCGCAGTGCCGTGCTCTGCACCTCAGCCCGCACAATCCGCGTCGTGCCGGGGCACAAATGTAACGCCATGAGTTCTGGGGGGCGGGGGGTGCACGTGTTGCCTTCACGAGTGAAAGTCGTCAATTTTCTTTTTTTTTTTTGCACACAAAAATACAAAATACGAGAAAAAAATGAAAGAATAATTCCAAAACCAAAAAAACACAAGAAAAACACATTGGGAGGCGAGTAGAAGCAGGAAAAGGTGCGCAAAGGATATAATAATGAAAGGGGAGAAAAGAAAGGGCGTGTCTTGAAATGGAGAAACAACAAAAAAAAAAAGAATCATTACTAATGATGCGCTACCGTCCGATGCAACTGTTGTTTGTATGCGTTTATGCGTGTCTGGGGACCCCGTTCCAATGTAAAAATTACGACAAAGCCCACGTAACACAGCAAAACACGTCCAGAATCAACCCATTAAATCCAACAGTGGCGCAGCCAAAAAAAATAAAAAACTAAAGCACATGTGACAAAACAAAAACAAAAACAAAAAACAACAACAAGAAGGGGAAAAAGGCAAAAGGGACAATTTTCCCTCCGTGTGAGGGAAATAGACAAACGCACGCACGCACACAGAAAGGGAGGAAGAGAAGAATGGAGGGAAGGCGTTGGATGCATGAATAAATTAGAAAAGTGTTTGTGAACCGTTCCGTCCCTCCGTCTCCTGTTGCGGCACCCGGTCCCACCCCTCCCACCCGTCAGTTACTCATCTACCGCCCGCCCCCATGGAAGGGAGATTGGGCATAATTTTGGTTCGTTTTTGTTGTTGTTGTTGTTGTTGTCGTTTTTTCGCACTTATTTCTCGCGTGTGTGTGTTTGTGGCCAATTCATCCGCTTCCACCGCCCCACCAGTCACGCAGCTAAATGTGCAGTCACAACTGCCACCAAAGAAAAGAAATAAAATAATAATAACAAATCCAAAACAAGACAAAATACGCTCTGATACGTGTAATCAAAACCCTCGTTTACTTTTTCATTGCGACCTCCCGCCCTCAGCAAAACCACAACTTCCCGAGCATGTGTTCTCCACATGAAATGGTGTTTGTAACCCGTTTAATTGAAGATAAATAGGCACATGCAGTTCTCTTCTCTATCACATCCCTTTATGGCTTATATAAATAAATAAATAAATATATATATATATTACGATCAGGTGGGTAGTGTGTTTGCAAAGCCATTGCAAACAAAAACAATGGTTGTAATCTCCTCTTAGCATGAATCACAGTTGCCTATTTTCACGTACGGTTCGCATCCTTCCAGTAAACTTTGCTTTAAATTTTATCTCTGCTTGTTGTCAAGTGACGAGGGTTTTCCTTCCCATTTCCACTTTTCTCACTACACAAAGGTCCAAAAACGTACGTATCCATCCTGTGATGCGGTTACAACGCAACGGGAAATGCTGCTTACCCACACACCACGCGAAAGGCCCTTCCAGGCCTGTGGAAACCCTCCCAATACCTCCGTTAGTTTGCGTACGTCCCACAGGTACAAATTCTCGCCAACACTCGCTGCCAAATGTACATCATCTACATGAAGACCCGTCACATAATCTTTTAGTTGCAGCGTGTGTGTAAAGTTTGCAGATGGCAACCCATCAATGATGGGCTTTCCCGTGGGGCGATAAGGGACGCGGTAGTCCCAGGAAAGAATGGTGCTGTCAAAGGACCCGGTAAAGAATTGGTTGTTGTCTCGAACTGTCAGTGCTGGCAGTTTACGTGAGTGTCCTTTAAAGGAAGTCAGAATGGAGTTTGAGGCGACGTCCACAACCGTTATAGACCCGTCGCTGCCTCCCACTAATACAACAGATCCCGTAGGAATGCAGTCCATCACCTGCGCATTGGACGAGATAGTCAGATGCTGCACCGGCCTGTCGTTACTGCAAAGAACAATACTGCGGCTCAGTCCACCAATAAGAAGTGGTGGAACCGTTTGCCCATGCACGTACGATACGCAATACACGTCGTTCCCCAAAGATGTAGATGACGTTGGCGATAGTGCCGCCCCGTCGATGCCTCCCATCTCAAAGGACCATTCAACTGCATTGCCATCCTCACAGCCCGTGGCAAATTGGTACCTCTCCTTAAAGCTGATGTCCCAGATGGCGGCTTCGTGGGTGTGTGCTTGCATTAGAGAATTTCCAAGTTCATCCACAAAGTACACATTGCCCATGGACGAACCCACTGCAAAGCGTCCTTCCACAGCGTCAGACACCACGCAAAGAAACTTATCGCCCGGGACACCAGTAAAGGCGGAACGAAGGACAACGGCACCATGGATATTGAGTGGGCGCTCTCGAGGCGCGGACACCACCTCACGCGGAGCAATGTCCACCACATCTACGGAAGCGTTAATGCGTACACGAGGTTTGTCCCCAGTGGTTCCCACTACTGTGTCAGAGGTTGTTGGGACACCCCATCCAGAAGTCCGTCGTGAGTACCATGACTCCGCGGTTACAAGTCGATTGCATGACATCGATGTTGCCATCGACAATTCTGACACTGACGCCGATAAGCAACTTTGAATTCTCGTAATCTCCGCCTCCTTAAGAAGAAAGCGCGGAAAGTGTGGATGCGGTTCCAGGCAGATGATAACCCTAGCGTTGGAACTGAACCCTTGAAAGTTACGACTCTCTGACTCCTTCAGGAGCTCCTCAAGAATGCGGCAGGAGGCAATGGACTTGTGCGCATTTACAAGAACAAACCAGGCTCCGTCATACATGGCCGCTTTGAATTGCTCGACAAACACCTCTGCCTTCGGCCTTAGGCGTAACTTCACTCCGAGGTCAATTGTGACGATGTGCATATTCAGCGTTTTGGCCACAAGCTCAATCTCGGCAATTGGATTTACGTCATAGCAGACACAAACAATACACCGACCGACAGCCACCATTTCCACGGCCCGCATGAGGCGCCGCCGCATTGAATTTTCCGATGGCCGTCTCAAGTTTACATGAAATGAATCTTCAGTGCGTGCAGGTGTATCTATTTTTTCAAATTCCAACAGCTCAGGAACGCTATTTACTTTGTTTAAATAACCTGCACCCATGCTGTGGCATGGAGCACTCCCCGTGGTCTCCGCCGTGAGGTCGCTGGAGGCAACCGAAGTTTTATCCTCCTCCCCATCTTTCATTGCCGCAGACTGACTGGCACAAGACCCAGTGTCCAACAAGAATGCCGTCTGGGACGACAGTTTTGACAAAGATGATTGTACCGGGGTCTCTTGGGAAACCGGTAGAGACAAATCCTCGTCAGCTATTTTGTTCAAAACAGTCTCCAGTAACGGCTGTTGGGCAACTCCGCTAACACAACCGTCACACCTCACGCTTTCTTCGATTTTCACCCGCTCCGAGGGCTCATTGGTCTTTTCATATACCACAGACACTTGCCGGGATGCATCCCCAGAGAGCAGGATCTCGCGCAGTTCACCCCTGTCCGTGACGGCCTGCCCATCCACCTCCACGATGCGGGCATCAAAAGGCAATTTTTGCGCGATGCCTGCTTCGGCCCCGTTCGGGTAAGCCTTAATTTGACAGTCCGGTTCAACAGAAATGCTGCGCAAAAATTCATCCGCCGTTGCCTCTAGTAAATTTCCACGCCCATGAGACATATGGCAGCTTCACGGTGTTTTGGTGGCGGTGTATCCCCACGCCGACGCCCCGCTCGTGGCAGTCCTCTTTCACCGCCCTTGCCCTTGAGTGCGTCCGGGTGTTCCCCCACCGTTACTTCCTACTCCCGCTGTTGACTCACGTGTTAGATCCCACCGCCAAATAAAATTATTTACCGCTGCTGCCTTTTTTTAAAAAAAAAAAAAAAAAACGCGCTTTGTGGCTGGTTGTGCACGTCAAGGCGACCAAGCAGCAAAGCAAAAAAGAAAAATTGAAAAAAAAAAAAAAACCGGAGAAAATAACAAAAAACAGAGAGAAAACACACGCAGTAACAGACACACTCACAAATAGAGAGAGAGAGACAAGAAGAAAAAAAAAAAAAAAACAGAAAGGATGTGTATTCTCATGCATGCACGTACGCGCATAGATGAATGTATCTAGCTGTTGCATCTAAATTGTCTCGGGAAGAGAGAAACAAAGAAAGAAAGAGCATAAATAAATACATACGTGTGTAAATAAAAGCTGCTCTTTGATGGAGGAGTAAAATGTTTAATTCTTTAAGGCAGAAAATTTTCTTGCCTTTATTTTTCCCCCTCTTTTTTTTTTTTTTTTTTTGTATGTGTGTGTGCGTGTGTTTTTGTGTTTTTGCTCCCGACAAAACAATGCGAAGTCGCAAAGTGCGCTAAGTGAGCCGCCTCGTACGTACACTAGAGAAACGCCACAACAACAACAACAACAAAAGGCAACATCCACAAAAACAGACAAAAAGAAAAAGGCGGAACAACAAAAAAGGAGAGAGAACAAAGTAGCCGATGACGTCTGCCACCTGCGTTTCCCCTCCGCCCACAACCACACAAAAACCAAAAAAAAAAAGCTCCAGTCTACAGGAGACGCTCTCAACATCACCGCTGTGGTTACATCATTGGACGGATATAGGGACAAACGCACAGCAAAAAGAAAAAAAATGGGAGAAAACAGGAACCAAATGAGAGAAGCGAATATTTCCCCCGCACCATCAGCCACGGTTAGAACGGCTACGTGACTTCATCTCCACAAAAGGGCTTGTGGGAGAAATAGACATGCGCCACAACGCACGCTCAGCATTCGGCCGAAGAGGGGCCTTTTCAATACGCCTCCGGGCTGCAATACCAACGACTGCCTCGTGTCCCTTCCCCTCATCACGCTGCATGTACATCTCTGCCAAAGTCATGTTTTCATCATGTGGTGCATGAGATCCTACGCGGCGGCATCGGCGTGAACTCGAACGAGCGTTAACGGACGCAGGAAAGTTTGCATAATTCTCAGCAGCATCCACAGGAGGAGAAGCGGTGGGTCTATCAGCAGCTTCCGCCCGTCGTTGTCGACCGCGTGTGTGATTCATCAGTTTGCTCCGGACATCCCTCAAGAGGCCTAATGCTCTACGGACTCCATCTGTAAGCTGTTCATTTTTCGGTGACGCACTTTTTTCTGAGACCAAAAACGTCTCCACCCCAGAGCTCTCCT